AATTCGTTAAGACGTTTGAAGTGTGGCAGCACACAAATTTAAATGATGAACTTCACAAATCTAATAATCAAATTTGAAATTTCCTGTCTACATCCAACAGCAGTACAGAATATATTTCCATCGCATATTTATTACAATCGTATGTTGGAAACATGGTCAAGATAAATCGGTTTCTCGTCAAAGTCTTGTACCTGATTGAAGTCGGAAACTTAACCTTGCTGCTAGAGCCCGCGTAAACGAATTACTGAAGACACCTTTCAAGCAAAGCTAGAGACTAATGTAACTGTAAGTTTTTCACTCCTGCAGGTTGTTTACCTAGCTGATTGATAACAACTAGTTAGAGAGGTACTTTAATCCTGCTGGCTTGCGGGGATCATTACCGTTGGGAATCCGGCACATGAGGTCCTCACAAATACATTCTTGACATCAATTTGCGGGGGATTACATATCTTACGGTAGCCCGTGCTGTTCTCGGGTTTATGGCCGTGTTAAAAGGTCATTAAGTCAAATTAGATGTACTGATTACAAAATTATCATTTTTGTTATATATGAATGTTAAATCATAGTTGTGACGTCAAAACCAAAGACTAAATGCTTAGTTACAGTAAGACAATCCATTACACTAATTAGGTACACCTCATACGAAACTCTCTCATGCCTCAAATTCGCAATAGAAGCTGTTGTTTCCGTGGTCAGTGAAGTTGAGCGATAACAAAGAGCGATAAGAAGGGAGTTAATCGATTAAGCTTTCATGGAAAGAAGAAGAAAATTTTGATATCAGTTATCACTGGATTTCTTGGTGTAGGAGGATGTTTACATGATCTAGATCGTTGGTGTCCTGCTTTCACGGAACTATTTACGTCACCTCAACACGAAACACTCTTTCGCGTTAGAGATTGTATTGACAGAGGTTGACCTAGTTACACGCGATGCCATATGGTTCACAACATTCAAGTTCGCTATGATTAAACGGCAGGTGACACAATCGATGTTTGCCATGCTATCGTGGCTCTGTTACATGTACCTACATGGGAAACAGATGACCTTACGGCTACATGTTGATAACTATAAGGACATGAACAATATCACAACCGATTTTCCGTGTTATTATCCAGGATACGACCACCCCAGGGATGCTTAGTGCTAACATGTCATTCAACTTTTGATCTCTCTATTGACAAGAGTGATAAACGTTGTGGGAAATTGTAATAAAAAGATTGAAAATATTCTTGGCACTGTTGGAGTCTCATAGATCATTTGATCTGTTATAAGCCTTTTTTAATATTAGAATATTGCATCACTTCACGCTGGGGTGACCTCTAACGAACGTGTTGTTTCTGGTGCCGTCACCAGAGCGTTTTGTTTAAAATACAGTCCGTGTACACTGTAGCATTTTGATGGTAGTGAAATCAGTCAAGCGTTTTAGGTAAAGAGAAGACGATGTAGTGAAGGCGATTAAAGGTCTAATTTTAGGGTATTTAAGCAGGTGTCTTATTTCTAAGTAATCCTTGAAATGCCGCGTTTTAGTGACGTCATTATACTGGTTTATTTATGTTGATGCCAATGAAACGCCCAGCTTCCAATGAAAGCCCGGAAACCAATGTGTTATCATAAGTATAAATACTAACTAACGGTCGCTTGACAGCTGTTCCAGTATCATCTTACATCTTTAGAATAAACCACCTGGATTTATTTCACAGTGGATACCAAAGATTATCATCTGTTCCTGTAGATATGACCGAGAGCACAGATTTCACTCGGCGAATGGTGGCCAGTTAGGACCAAATCACACACGTTGTCGGGTTCTGTCACTTGCGTTTCATTAAAAGAACATGATAACCTGTATACAGCGCACCTCTCCAAACTATTACAGTTGACACAAACAAGTACGTGTAATAGACAGAAATTTTGACAATAATATTTCATGAGAGTCTGCTTTTCACTATTTCAGCAGATAAAGGTTCTATCGGAAACTTCACGTTTTCCGGCGGACTTCTTGATAAAATATTACCAGAACATTCACATATCTGAAATAAGAGGAACATATCATATGTTACCATCTTATAATTAATCAGACGAAACTACAAACCATAAAACAATGTTACCGATAGTTTCTAATTATATACGGAAACGTATTTCTAATTTGACCCAGCGTTTCATTAAAGTAATGCGGTGAGATGTTATATATATTGCTTGGTAGGCATGTAATTCAATGACACTTACAGTATTTTCTATATACCAATCGACATAGTATGATATAATGGTTTTAGTGAGCAAAACATGTTGTTATATTTCATTTCATTACCGACAATGATGTGTCTATAACACAATGATAAGTCATGAATGACATCACTTTTCACTAATTGCGTGGCTCGGGCGAGGCGTGTTTAATGTAATTCAAACACATGGGATCACACCTTGAAGGATGAATCTCCACAGACCTTCATTTTTCTTCTTTAATTTTTGTCCCAAAGGACTAAGTAATCATACATTTATTCGCTTCAGTGAGTACCTGTTACTTCTTACAATATTAACAGCTCCGCTGTGATGACTTATTTGTAGCTCGTATGAGTCCATGTGGCGTTTATTGAGGTCCAACGTTCGAGACAAGATTACCCAAGCATACACTCTACTAAGCATTTCTTTTCCGCCACCAACGCATATTGTTTTAAGTGTACATCCACTTTGGACTGTATCGGAGCAATCAAAACAGATATACACAAGTTCAAATAGCATATTTTTAAATGTAAATTTAACCGATGGGTTCGGTTGAGAAATGATCATACCAGTCCAAAATATGTATAAATCAGGTACTTCTAACTATCACTTTACAATGTTATTTATCTGTGTCTGTTCCAAAACGTGTTATTGATGCAACACGCATTAGCCTATAGTTAATGGTCCTGTTAGAGTTTTGGACAGTTTTCTTAAATTAATTACAAGAAAAAAGGATTTTATAGTTTTATATGTCCTGGTTGTCATGGTTGCAGTGATCATTCGTTACCCTGGTTTGTCGATCTTAAGAACAAAACGATTGAAACAGGCCCGCGATAAGATTGCATGTGGTGCCTCGAGTTATACATAGACTTTGCTTGATATCATGATTGCCAAGTTTATCGCCCCCTGAATGGTCAGAGTAATGAGGAGGTAGTGTCTTCTTGTAGTAAGTGGTGCTTTACCTCACCGAAAATCATGCGGGAGTCCCGCTGTATTATACAGAAAGTGATAGGGGTAATGGCTCTTGTCAAACGTCTCACCTAGGACATCACTCGAGGGTACATGAGCTCATCATAACCCCGAGTAACAGAAGTTAACGCATCACTCCCCTGAGAGTTGCAAACAACAGTTTATCCCATTTGTTTTGCCCTTATGTACTTTGTTTTTCACTCTGGCGGTTTTGTAAGATCTCCAGGTACTGAACAAACTTTCTCTCCTTGCCAATGTAGCGTCTTCTCACTGTTACGCTGACAAAACAAATGAATAAATCCTTGTAAATTGTCAGCAGTTTAGTCTGGGACATCCGGTTCTTTACCAAATAGTGATGTCTCCTGGATTAGCATTGAATGAATTTGGAATATTTCATAATTTTTCCACAGAAATGTCTACAAATTACACATTCGATTTTATCATTTTTCAAAAATCAACGTGAATTTTCACGATTAATAAAGAATTAAATCAATTTATAAAAATTAATTGTTGATATTGTTTATGAACTTTATTCATTTAGTTATTTATAATTTTAATTTATATGGATATTAATTTATAAACAAGGGCCTATGATCAAAGATTGATAAACTGTAATTAAATCAATATATAAAAATTAAATGTTGATATTGTTTATGAACTTTATTCATTTAGTTATTTATAATTTTAATTTATATGGATATTAATTTATAAACAAAGGCCTATGATCAAAGATTGATAAACTGATAATAAAGTTGCTTTATAAACATTTCATTTAATGTGTATAACCTGTTTAATTGACTTCTAAGTATTATCGTTATAAGCTTGTTAACGACCTACTCCTTCAAGCGCCGTTCGCCATTTCTGGTACTTCGTTAACTTCTAATAATTCAGCAAATGTTATGAGTCGGACTTAATAGACCATATTCCAAATGAGGATATATTAAATGCTCCAGAAAGATTAACATGCCAACGTTGATATTAATATCACGCATATAACACAGAAAGTTATTGCCGGTGAAATATTCCACGTTCAAATTACGGTTTTCTTTTCTCTGTGACTACAAGCTGTGAACACGTAACATATTTAATTCATATTACAATCTAGATTCCTTGTCATACATGTTTAAGATTATATACATCCCGATTTCCAATAACTTGAAAAAAAGAAGAAAATCGAAAATTCGAGATATTTGGGATTAAACCTGAAATTCTTAACCTATGTTAACAGTACTCCGGACCTTTACAGTCACTTAATTAATCTGTGATCACAATGTCACGTGACTTCGTTAGGATCCAAAAATATCACAGCACCTAATTGATTTTCTTTTTTCGGAGAAAAATCTGAACTAATGAGGCCCCTATTAACAAAACATCATTAATTAAAAAAATTGTTTACAAGTAATCGATTTTACGTGTCAAGTCATATTAAGTCAAAGTATTCACCAGCGTTTTTCAAAGCGTCTGTTAGTTACTTGGTTTATAGAAAGTACATCTGAAATATTTTTTTGTTGTTAAAACTTTGAGCGGTATAAATGAATTGCGCATAAATTTACAAAATCCTTATATTTTACGATATCCCAGCACTGCATGAAACGGCAAGGAAATGCGCCCAGATTTTACTGATAGCATGTATATCGCATTTGTAGTAATTCAATTTTCCTTCGGGTTTTGTTTTCACGGAAACAAACAAATATGTACCAGGATTTATAACGAAAACAAAGAAACGCTTTCTTCAGTCTTGTTTATACATGCCGTGTACAATTTTTGTTTTCATTGCTTTCAGATCTGCTTGACATCGATGTACGGCTGCCGTCATGGTGGACACAGAACATTGCATCATCATGGCGATTCTAGGGGTGTTCAGTATTGTCGGCACTATCGGAAACTTTCTGGTATTATACATCTATACAAAGAAGCGTGATCGCACAACTTCGAACATATTCATTCTGACGCTTGCAGGAACAGATTTCCTTACGTGCCTCGTTCTGATACCATTTAATATTGTGGCTTTGGGATTAGATCATCGACTGGAGATTGACTTCTTTTGCAAAATTTACATGTTCCTTTTGACCTGTAATGTGCCGTTTTCTGCCTTCGTAATGGTCGCCATCGCCTTTGACAGATATTTTTGCATATGTCACCCATTTCTGCACGCAATCAACATTCCTCGCGCCAAAGCGATCGTGGTACTAATGGCTGCCCTTGCGTGTGTATTTGGAATCTTGACGTCCATGATGTATTCTATTTGGACCCCACTGTCGAATACTACAAATGACTCTAACAACACGTGTTTACAAACAGCGCCATCTAGCGACCAGCCTTACAATGCATCTTTCATGACATCTGCACTCTGTGATGAGGGGAGCATTATGTCCAATGACACCGCCTTGGATGGCGAGGATTTAGATGGTGTGTGTGGCCCATACAATGACATATTTGGACCGTACTTCATTTGGGTGTATCAGAAAATATACGCTGGTTTTTATTTGTTATCATTTTTAATTGTGTTTGTATTATATGGACTCATCTACAGAGCGATACACCTCAGACGAGCACTTAAGGCGAAACGGAAGCGGTCAAGTCTGTTTCCGGCGGCAACTGAAATTTCAATGGCGGAAACGCAAATGACAGCATTAAACGGAAACAATATTGAAAACAACGCCGAATCTTCAGACAAGTGTGTAAAGAAAAAACATCCTGGACAAGTCAAAGATAAAAATTTCTATGCAAATATTCGGACGGCGGCCATGCTGTTTATAGTAACAGTCGTGTTTCTGTTGGCGTTCCTTCCTGCATGGTTGATGGCGCATGGTTGGATCCCGTACAGCCCAATTATTTTTTACATGTACTTTCTGTACAATGTCGCTAATCCGGTGATATATGCCTTCATGAACATGTCATTTCGGGCCGATCTCAGGTCACTTTTGTGTTCTAGAAAATAGAATGTCACTTCTGTGATGAGTGCACTGAAAAGTATTTTGAAATATTAAAAATACATTGGTTTGTAAATAAAATAATTCACACGAGACCTTGGTGGTGTATAGTTATAGCTGTTGGGTGGAGGGAGATATTTTGAGCGTGTCACATCTCCTATTGCGTTACAAAGTTACAAGATTATTTCATAAAGTTCAATTATCCCACCGTGCCCTTCTGTAAGATAAATTTGGATGTTCTTTTGTTGTTTCTTTTTCTGTTTGTTTTTATTTTTGTCATTTTGAGAAGAGTATATTATACATTCGCAGTAAATTCTTGGTTGCATTGTGTTGAACAGGCTAAATTCTGTCAATATCCTTCATATAGGGCCCACACAGATATTCCGTAACTCTGGTGTCCTTTTGTAAGAAAGTCTTTGCTGTAAGTGATAAGCTTATTTTATTTTTCTTGTTCATGTGAAGTTAAGTTCCGAATCGAAAGTTACGTCATTATTGTTTTCTGCTTTAGTCTATATGAGCCCTTGGTGTCTCCCTTGATTTTTTTCAGTTTAGGGCCGATGTGCACGTGTTTACGTTTCTCTGGGTGCATTCTTAAAAGCCAAGGATCGCTCCATATTTCCATGGTATCTAAGTCCTTCTATAGAATCTCTTCTTCCTCGCTCTTTTTTTACCATTACAAATATCTTTGTATCATCCGCGAACATGGGATATCACGAACAAATACATGTTTAACGGAAATAATTTCCTGTAATACATTACGATACTTTTCGATATACTGCACAAACTTCAGTATATTTTCATCATTAAATATGATTGTAAACGGGAATTCTATACTGTAATCTTAACCTGGCGATTTGTTTTACAATCAATCAATAGTTGGCAGGATTATAACTGAACTAATACCATGAACCGGGACGTTATGCTTTTTGAGAGAAGAAATTTGAAGCTGTCGATGCATTCATAACCCCAGCAAAATTGAATTTGGGTATAGATCAATAATTTCAGTACATCAGGTTGCCCTTCGTCCTGATAAAGAACCAGTTTTAACAGTCTGGGCCTTTCGGCTATCAAGAACATGTCGTTTGACGTTTATAACATATTTGACCCCTGTAATCTTAGAAGTAGGTCAAGGCAATTCATGTGAACACATTTGATAATCTTTTTTCCCTGCATGCTGCAGGCCAAATATTAATCTTTTGCTATTGAAAAGATGTCATGTTAAGATGCAACACATTTGAACTATGTGATTTTGAAAGTGGCCATCAAGATAGATAGATCAAGATCATATTTATTTTATTTTTCATTCTAGTTTTTACTATCGAAGCAATGAATGGTCTTATATCGTTTATTGTCACTATAGACAATACAGCTTGGCGAGCGACACCAACTGCGCATGATTGCCAGCATTACGATGTCTTTCATAACGACAATAAATGCCATTACAAGACATCTCATATCTTATATTTATGTTCTTTTATCATGTCGCTGTCTTTTGTAGGTTAAAACTTATAATATACGAAGGCCACTGTTTTAACACATAGGTGGCTGTCTAAGGGAGGTAACTCGTATAGATTTCAAGTCATCGATCGCCAAGAGCGAAAAATTCTTCTCGTCTGCCGAAAGTCAGTTCGTTCAAAGTTCGAATTTAAATAAATCAATAAAGTTTCAAGTGATTTTCTTGCTTTACGTGTATTTTTCATTATGTTTTGATTTATTGTAATGTTCACTAGCATGAGATTAATCTTAATTATCTTTAAATTGAAAGAAAATGGCCCAACCTTTTTAATTATTAGAAGAAAGAGAACAAATTACATATGTTTGTTGGATTCTTAGATTAAATGCCACTTAAACAGACAGCCATTTTAAGAATGGATGTTAACTTGTAGGTAGCAGTTGGCGGCTACTTCAGTTAGTCTCGTGATCATCCAGAACGATATGGGTGAACTGTCTTGTCCACTGACAAATCCAGGAGAAAGCTCATCCACGACAGAATAAAAGTTCTTATAACACAACCAGTAGAAGATTAGAGTGTGACGTTTCGATGACTACACGGTCACCTTCATCTTATATCACCACCAGTAGAAGATTAGAGTGTGACGTTTCGATGACTACACGGTCACCTTCATCTTATATCACCACCAGTAGAAGATTAGAGTGTGACGTTTCGATGACTACACGGTCACCTTCATCTTATATCACCACCATTAGAGTATTAGAGTGTGACGTTTCCATGACTACACGGTCACCTTCATCTTATATCACCACCAGTAGAAGATTAGAGTGTGACGTTTCCATGACTACACGGTCACCTTCCTCAGACAAACGATCCGTGTGGCGCGTACTGGCATTGGTGTACGCAATGTACGAAATTATATGGAATCGACCAACTTTTTTGGCTGCACTATAATCCTATGTGTGGTCGCAAATAGTGTGACGAGATGGTAAACATATTATAGACCAAGATATGCACCAGATGGTAACAATGTACTGTAGTCAATTCGGCTACGCATTGTTTATAGTGCAGCCGAAAAATTTGGTCGATTCCGTACCATCTCGTCACATTACGTACAGCAGTGCTAGTATGCTCCACACTGGTCTTTTCCATTCCAATGAGCTTTTCTGTTTGTTTTTTGTTTTGTTTGTTTGTTTTTGTTGTAAATTTTGTTATAACTTATTTTTCCAGATTTAAGATTGTTGAAAATCAAAAGAGAACCAATAAACTGAAAAAAAAATCATTAATTACATCACAAATATTTCATTCGTGTAAAAATTATAAAAAAAAAAAAAAAAAAAAAAAAACTTACAAAGTGGGTTATACCTAAATTTATTGGACGGAATTCAATATTTATGCCTAAAATATTCACATAGTATTTAGCTGTAAAAATTTAAATAAAATATCTTCAATAACTAGATCTTTTCCTTTTAGTTTATGTTCTAAATTATATGTTGCCTCTGTCAACATAGACAATTGCACGACTCGGCGTCTCTATTTCCTGTTCGGAATCCAGTAGGGATACTGTACTGTATAGTTACAACTGGCGTCTGAAAATGAATCGATTTCTTTTACGTCACTAACGTCGTTTGAATATGAATATTCATGACAGCTATTACTTTCGTTACAATCACTTTGAAGAAGCGTATATTCTCGCCATTGTTGACATCGTGACGTACTTTTAATTCTCCATATACAGAAGAGTTACCTTTCGCGGAACAGGCTTGTTCCACATGAACATCGTAAATTATCACAAAATCGTGGTTTTATGTTGATAAAATCATATTTACATTGTAAAACAGACGGACACAAATTTGATAATTGGTTTCAGATTAACTGGAAAGCACAAGGCGATGACTACCGCTTAAAGAAAACTTTGTGATCCGGAATTCTCTGCAAATTGGTCAAGTACTGTAAATTAATGTGCATAGGCAGGTATGTCGTTGAAAGAAAATATTAACTTAAAAATAAAAACTACAAGAAGTGGACCAGGAAATGGATATAGGAGTTAAGACTGACCATTCTTTGTTGTACAGTTTAAGAAACAAATTTTGTGTTTGAATCAACAAGGGGTACTGTTAAATTCTTAGTGAACACACCTTTCCGTTTCTGTACCAGACATTAGTTAGAGTCCATCTTGAGTGCGCAAATACTGTATGGCATCCGAAGTAAAAATTAAACATATTGGTATAATTCAAGCTTTACAACCGAGGGCAAGTAAACAATTACCTAGATTTAAGGAAATGTCTTATTCAGATAGACATTAGTATCCAACATTTTCCTTCAGGAAAAAATCAGGTAGGACATGGTCAATCGAAGTATTTAAAATAATATTTGGAATAACGGGGCAGAGAAATTTCTTAGATTCTGGAACGACGTGATCCAAAGACAGGAGCCATGGCATGTTTTTAAAAACCGACTCTTCAGCATCGTAAATTAATTATAAGAATTAAATTTTTGTTTGTTTGCACATTTTCAAAATATGAAACAACATTCCAGAACTAGTAATCTCGGCAACGACAGTAAATTCTTTCAAAAATATATTATACAAGCATTGGGAAAATCAAGAATGTATTTAATCATAAGTCTTAAATTCTATAGAAATTGGAACTGATGTCACAATCGATTTATTTAATTGATTATTGTTGTGTGTTTATGATTAGTATAACCTGTACTGGTATTCGCTCCCACTAGTGTCCAGCATAAGGGGAAATCGAACATTTAAAATCATTGATACACAGTAGATTAATTTAATGCGTGCAAGAAATGATAATTAGACTTGTTGCTTTGGCAGCGATATTTTTCTAATCGACTAATTCATAAAGGTATATGTTTATCAGGCGGATTCCCGCAGCACAGCTACAACACAACACGTGTATAAATGGCGTACAACAAGAAGAACCGTTTTTATTACTCAAGATAACAAAAGAGTTCCAAACCAGGAACAATAACTCAAATGGACACATAAATTTAGGTTTCACCACATAGTTATTAAAGTTCACATATCAACAGTATGTAACAATGTTGACTTTAGAAGGAAGCTACAATTGTAAAATTCAAAGCGATTTACAATCATTAATTGTCGATTGGGACATTAGTCCTGTGGATATGAGAGAGATAACATCATAAGTACTTCATTTTATATACAATAATACTGCGGAAATATGAATAAAAAATAGTATCTTTTTGGCATTACATAATTTTAATTGTAGACGAAAATATCACCGTTTAGCATTAGCTGATATTTCTCACAAACTAGATTTAATCGCCGAATAAGGTCTGCGGCTTCGTATTGACATCTTACTCCTGAGCTTGATCCAATGGTCCGTATTTATGTAACATGAATATAATGGCAAGTTGTTTGTTATGCAAATATATGGATCGATGGTAAATTCATAAATCCTTGACTCTGAAACCGTGATATGAAATAACGAATTGGTCCAAGGGAGATAACTCTAAATACTTTTGAAGACTGTTTCCCAAGTAGTTCAAATCTAGCAAAAGTCATATCGCAGAT